GCCACATTTGCTTATGCACCCATTTGTCTTCAGTGATCCGTTCGACACCTCGTGATCACACAGGCTGATATGTTCTTCCATGTGGGCTTGTTGCTTCTGAGCTAGATGGCGATAGTAGGTCTTTACAGGAGTAGCAAGTCTTATCTTTCTCCCTTGGAGGAAATTTGGAACTGCCGACCCTGCAGCTAGCAGCCCAATTCACAGCCCACGATATTTCCAGGGCTCCTCCCTCACACCTAGAAACCAAAAATGAGTCATGGTTCCCAAAAGTGAAAGGCACAGGGAAGAGGAGTCTTTATTTGGGGGCGTATTGGATGTATGTTAATGGTAGTAAAGTGTTTTCAATGAGGGCAGTGTTTCATGTGGGCACAACAATGCCATTGAGCTCTAAATATGGTAGCTGTGTTGGTAAAGGCTTTGATGTTTTGGTGTGTGTGTGTGTGTGTGTGTGTTGGATTCTTTAAGGAGCCCTAGTGGCACAGTGGTTATGCATTGTGCCGCTAATCTCAAGGTCAGCAATTCAAAACCACCAGCTGCTCTGCAGGAAAAAGACAGGGCTCTTTTCTCTCATAAAGAGTTAGTCTTGGAAACTCACAGGGGTAGTTCTGTCCTGTCCTTACAGGGTTGCTGAGTTGGCATTCACTCGATGGCAATGAGTTTAGTTTGTTTTTGGATTGGTAGATTTGGTGTGTATATGTTTGCCACAATTTTATTTAAAAGATGCAGAGAGAGGCTGTTGATCAAGTGAATTTCATGTCACTCTTGACAGCCAGGGTTACAAACATCTTCTTTTCAGAATTGTGTAATGCTGGTGAGTGAATAATAGGAAAGTAATCATTGCTGAAGCCCTTTTGTACATTTGACACAGAAACACAAACAATCCGGTTAGTATTGTACATGCCTTGGAATACCTTAAACGTTGGATGTCATGACATCAAATATTTGCTTCACTAACTAGCTTTTCCATTTTCAAATGAACATTTCAACAAGTTTGTAAGATTTGTTTTTGGTTTTGTTTTTTTGTTTTTAAGATTTGTTTTAATCCACCTTTCACCACATGTGGTTAAATAAGAAAAACACCAGATGAGAAATGAGCCCTGAATGATGGGGTAGGAAACAAACGAGAAGATAAAGAGTCAGCACCATGAAGCCAGTAGAGAGAGCCTGGACAGGAAGAGAGAGATGTTTGCATCCAGGTGAATGAATCAATTGCCTCTTTGGACACCTGGGCACAAGCAACACTCTCTCTGTGTGACTGCTTTGGTTTGCAAGTTCCATTCTGATAGTGACAGGCATTGGAATAACATCCAAGATGCAAGTCCTACCCACAGTGCTTTGCAGGAACGGAAACATTGGCAGGCATTACCCTGGGAACAAATGCCAGTTCCAGGATGATCTGTTATGAGAGCATGGCTTTGCCAATCAGTGCACAAATACACAGCACATAAACCCGCTGCCTTCAAGCCAATTCTACTATATGCAAAATACCCTTCCAGATGTGGTCCCCACTTGCTGTCAAGTGGACGCCAGCTCATGACTGGCCAATGTGTGTCAGGAGAGACCAGTCCCAGGAGAAGGATACCATGCTTGGTCAAGCAGAGGGGCAGCGAAAACAGGGAAGGCCCTCAAGGAGATAGATCGACACAGTGGCCGCCACAATGGGCTCAGGGCATAGGAACAATTGTGAGGATGGCACAGGGCCATGCAGTGTTTCCTTCGGTTGTGCATAAGGTTGCTATGGGTTGCTATGGGTCAGAACCGACTCAATGGCACCTCACAACAACCAGGTTTTCCATTGGAGCACCATAATGGTTTGGCGTTGGGCTGCCAACCTCGGGGTCCAAGACCAGGCTTTCTACTCACAGTTCTGCCCTGTCCTATAGGGTTGCTATGAGTCAGAATCTACTCAATGGGAATGAGAGTTTCCAATGGCTGATTCATCAGTAGATTGGCAGGCCTTCCTTCTAAGCATACCCTGGGTGGAATAGATCCTCCAGACTCTTGGTTAACAATGGAATGCATTAGCTGCTTGAGCCATCCAGGGACTCCTACCTAATACTGCAGGGATGCGAGGGAAAGACAGAGAGTAAAGCTTAAAATGGTTAAAATCCCCCAAAGAAATGTTCTAACTACTTAGGTAAACTAAGAATTCTTTTACTATGGAAACAGAGGAAACCTAGTGGAGTGTTTGTTTGAGGTTGATGGTGGAAAGCTGAGTGCACAGGAGGAGGTAGCTTTAAGTCTACTGGAATGTGGGAACCCAATTCTCCCTAATAAAAGCCACTCCAGGGACATCCCAGAGAGCTCTAAACTTGTTGGATTCAGGGGTCATACCAGAGAACCTTGTCCTCCTCCAACGATCGACTTCAGAAGTTGACTTTTTATGTTGATCCAGCACTAGCAGATGTTTTAGGTGGGGACGTTTAATTACCAACCGAGTTTGTGGAATAAGCAAGTTGCATAGCTCTTGCTTGATGGAGGACAGGTTTGAACCTGTAACATCAGGTCCCTACAGAGTTTCCAACGTTCTTTTCACCCCAGCAGCCCCTGCACCCTGCCCCCTTCTGAACTTGAGAATGGGGGAGCACAGCCCACTCCCACCTCCAACGCCCACACCTAGCCCGAGGCAGGCCTGTTCTGGTCCCAAAATGAATGCTTATGCGGATGGCGGGCCTCTATAAAAATAGAGAATGAGAACACCAACCCCTTACTGTCCCTAAGTGGTCATTAATTAATAACCACAGTGCCCAGCCCAGCCCACCCCCCCCACCCCCCCACGGCTGCTCTCCCCACAGAGGTGCCTGGCGGGGCTAAAAAGTGGCTCGTGGGTGGGGGGTGTCCAGGAAGGACAAAAACCCAGCCAGTGGGGTCTCTCCCTGCCCCTACACACCCAGATCGGAAGAGCGTCGTGGGGCTAAAAAGTGGCTCGTGGGTGGGGGGTGTCCAGGAAGGACAAAAACCCAGCCAGTGGGGTCTCTCCCTGCCCCTACACACCCACTGTCGTCCCCCACCCACCCACCCACCCAACTGGTTCTGCCCCCTGGCCCATCTCTCAGAAGCGGGGTCGGCCTACAGCGCAGCCCCTCTCCCTGGGCGGCCCAGGCGCCCTGTGTCCCAGGCTCTGCCCCGAACCCCCGCCGC